TTAGCAAAAACGATAGTCCACAATAAAAGAGAGCTAATTAACTATCCTGAGCTACTATCAATCGACATAGTGAATATTTTAACAAATCGAAATCACTTCTTAAAAGGACTTTTTTCTAAGCTAGTACTTTGGGAACTTTGTTAAGCTATTCCAAGACGCGCCATCATGGCATGATAAGAAACGAATAATCCATGACTTACGATTTCATGAGAGAAATGACTAATACATAAACATGAGAAAAATATACGAGAAAAGAAAGTGCGCCATCTACATAAAATTTTAATTTATGACCTAAGATGAATTAACAATAATTAAACAGAATAATCAATAATTCAATGAATCAAACAATAAATCGGACGAACAGAACAGCTTAGTACTTCTGGTAGTGCAGGCATCCGTATCTAGGTTTAATAATGAAGACTGTGACGCTTGTGAAATTACCTGCGTAGACTAGGTTAAGTCTATTGCTGTAAATTTCCATGAATGGAAAAAAGCGGCTACAATTTATTTGTAATGAAAAACTGCTGATGGAAATTTTAACACGATGTAAAGGAAAGTATCACTGCCAGAAGTGGATTTAGGATTAGATTACCCTCCTACATTTAATCAGAGCAAGTTCCCAACGTATTTTTCAATGATGAGTATGCCTACTTCTGTGATTCTGGTACTAGATTCCAAAAAGATGGAGTGAATGTTATAAGGGAGTTAATTCTTTGGACAGGGCTTCTAGAGAGCATGATATACTCCATAGCGAGCATACAAAACTGAAGAGAGAAACAAGGCTGAGGATATCGTATCGAAGAAAGCGACCGAAATTGCGTTAGATCCTAATGAGCCAGAATATGTCAAAATTGATGCAAAATTATTTATTGCTCTACTGGCTAAAAAGTTATGTAAGGCATGGTCAATAAAAAAAACGTACAAGCCCACTCACAGAGATGAGTGGTGAAATTTTGAATGCAATTTTTACAATCCTAAAACCGGATACGTAGGGATAAATGAACTTGTTCGCAAGAGTGTTTTATTTCGAGAACAACTCATGAATTGATTAGATTCACAGAAAACATACCCTCTACATAAAACAATAAAACCTAATTTCACAGCATTAAGAGACAAAATAACAAAGATCGATGGTCAATGGCAGGCAGATTTAGTTGACATGCAGTAGTATACAAATAATGCAGTATACAAATAATGCAGTATACAAATAATGCAGTATACAAATAATGCTTGAATGTAGCTAAAACTACATTCTAACTGTGAGTGGTATTTTTAGTAAACACGCATGGGCAGTCGCTATACGAAAAAATATAACTCAGTACTCACTGCAGTTAGTGACAGAGAGCGAATTTTCTCGTTGATGAAAACGTGAAGTCACTGACGGACAGACAGACGGACATGGCGAGCACAATAGTGAATTTTTTCCATAAATAAGAAAATGTGCTAAAAAGTCTTTGCAAAATTATTTTCAGAGACAAAGAAAGCTGTAAAAAGCCTAAATTAAAGACTGGAGATCGTGTCAGAATTAGTAGAAAACGTAAGGATTTTAATAATGGTTATCTTCCTAATTGCAAACGCGAGTTATTTAATATTTCTAAACTGTCCGGTGTCAATCTAGCGTCTCGTTATATTTAGTATCATTATATTATATGATGTTCATCTGTAATTGAGACGTAATATTCACTTAGCGTGAAACAAATTGATGGAAAAGTACTAGACCTGAGTCAGCGTCTGGACAAAATCACGCGATAGATCACGCGATGGCCGTAATTCTATAGCGCTGGGAACCTTAATGAGGCACCCCGCAGAAGCTGACAGGTACGTACGCCGTGATGTAACTCGCGTTAGAGCTACTCCGACCGAACGTTCGACGTCTTAGCCTTACCTGTATCGTATCAATCACGTATTACCACCTCGTATCAAGATAAGTTATCTGGACAGATGGTGTCTTATTTGTCCTTCACGAACTTAGTCAACGAACCCTCTTCAAGTCTGGAGGCGCATAAAAGTGACTTACCAACAAAATTATTAGATACGAATCCAGTAACTTATAGGTTGAACTATATGAACGGTGTATAAGAAATAGGGAGTTTTTGTGAAGAATTATCAAAATAAAGCAGCGACGTTTATGAAATTGATTAAGATCTTAAATAGAGTAGAGGAAAATTGTTAGTTAAATGGGAGTGATATGATGACCCATCTTGGATTCAAGAAGCTGAACTCACATCAAGTTGAACTAAAATTAAGTTGAACACACATTAAATTCAATATAAACACAACTTGAGTTCGAAATAACAGAACATCAAGTTCAAGTTGTTTGAGATATTTTACTCAAAAAGTTGATGTTAATTGATAAATTGCTTCATCGCTGCCTTGAGCATTTGTCTCAAAAAGTTATTATTCGTCCCATCGATATTCGGGATAGAGTGGTGGTACATATCCAGTACACCTATGCCAGTTCATGTAATGTGTTTGTGTAGAATTTTATTGCTGGCGTGAAATTCGTGTAAATATCACTTTTTCTGCCGGTAATAACTTTGTTTTTCAATTCCATTTTCTTAAACGAGAATTATTCTATAGTTTAACAGAATAAACATGAAATAAATTGTGTTTATTAAGTTCTTGCACGAGTGCTTGCGATCCATTAAAGTCTCCCGTGTTTCCAGCATTCATAGGGCCAAATAAGAAGTGATATCTTGGAACAATATCATTAACGTTAGAATGCATAACTATTATTCCTGATCCTGAAACATCTGAATCACTACCTGGCTCTCGGTTTGGATCCCTAAACGATCCAGGAATATCAGCTCTAATTCTAGCTACTTTATGAAGGACCTTATCCTTCTGTGTTGCTTTATAGAGTGGTTTGATGTACTTGGAGTAGTTATCGGCTCTATTTGCCTTTATTGTTCCATCTGACCTGAGATGGGTTTTTGTCTGTCTCAAAATTCGCTCGTAATTTACAACGTCTTTTTTATCGAAGTTTTCAGGGTATTGTCTTGTTACTAGCTCCCATAATCCGACAGTTCCTTCAAAAACTTGATCACCAATTTTTAAATTATTTTCCTGAATGAAGACAATTGTAGCTCCTATCATGTCAGTTTTTCCATCAAATTTTATGCCATAGCTTTGTCATACTCACATCCAGATTTAAATGCAAAACTTAATTAAGTTTTATATATTAAATCAAATAAACTTCCCCAGTCTGGAGAAACTAATGCTAATCTTCCGGCAGGTTTGATTGCAAATAATTCTCTAGGAGCATCTTTCAGAGCTAACCTCATTTGTTTAGTTTATTCAACCATTTTGGTATGAGGTTCAATTAGAGGCTTAAATGCTTTTTTAGCATCACTGCATAAATGTTGTTCCATAGATTTTTCTTATGAGAATTGTTTTCGCAAGTCTTTCTTCAATTTTATGAAATCTGCTGTCATTTTTATTAATTATAGTCTAAATAGTCACTTCTGTACACATACATGCACATGTATATCATTCTATGTTGGTGTGACAACGTTGGAAAGTAGGTCAAAATTCAACGCACCCATGATTGACGTTACTTTCAACTTAAATTGATCTACGTCTCTTCAACTGTTGTTCGCATTTTGACTTAGATTCAACGTTCTGATCAGGTTGAAATCAGGTTAAATGTTTCAGGTTGAAATGTTCATCAACATTTCAGCCTGAAATCAACGTTGTTTCAACGTCAGTTGCTTCCTGGGTATTGCTCAGCGTAAGGACGATGAGAACCATTCGAGTAGAAATTTAGTATTTGATTGATTATTTCTCATGTATCGTCTGTTCATTCTTTGCTCGTTTACTTTCAGTTTCCATTCAAAATTGACCATATTATCATGTAGAGCATAGAAACGTCTGACGAAAGTCGTATTTCTCAGAAGCAGCAAAATCAGTGACACTAGCCCATGGAGTGTAAATATTCTTAAGTGGTCATTTGTTCGTCACTTGTAAAATTTCGTTCTTAATTTTTTTCAACCGGTTATAAGAATGTTGTGGAAGAACATGAGTTTCATTAAGATTTTTCGAATGCCATCAAGAGGAACCCATCAAATCATCTATGTAGCTAATTAAGATTGCTCCATTGGTCATATGTATCACAATCATGACCTGTAGCGGAGTACATTTATAATTGGAAAATGCTTTATTGAACGAATGTTGGAGAACCCAGACACTCTAAGGGAGAAACTTCTAGGTCATACAATTTCGTTTAGTGATTTACCGATCGATCTGAAATTTTATATACATATATATATATAGGTCTAATACATGCACATTTTTGCGTTTAAATTTACAAGAATAATTAAGGAAAATCTGAGCAGGTAAAGAAAAAATAAAACAAGAAATCACGCAAAAATCTTTAAATCGTGATTTGCTAGAGTTAAGCATTTGGAAAAATTTGTATTATATTCAAAACGCATGCATCAATTGACTCTCTGCCTTTTTAGAAACACGCTCCTGCTTCTTTGAAGGCGTTTTTCCCCAACGTTTCCCATAATTTCTATCAGTTATTCATAAAAAAATTAATTAGTTGGGAGAAAGGCTTCTAGGATCGATATAGATACTTTTTTTACGAATCAAAATTTTTTGATATAAAATACTAAAGAAATACATGAAAAGTGGTTTCAGGATATCTCCAACTACCTTGTTACTCATAAACTGAAGGAGTTAGAAATTTTAAGTAGATCCAAAAAACTGAATTCTTTTATACATGAACAATATGTAAAAAACATTCTTTGCATTGTATCCATGGCTTTCCCATTGTCTATTACTTGTAAAGAGTGGGCCAGCATGACTTTTCACTGTCCAGTTTAGCTATATAACACTTACAATGAAAAACTTATATTATGAGGACAATATATTTATCATATATTTATTTTATACTAAACTATTTAAACTAGTTTCATTTTCCGTTAACTAATTATAAGACAATCACAAAATCTAAAAGAAATCACTCTTAGAAAGTAAACATCCTATTGTTTGCCGGTAAGGGAGTTAATAGATATTTTTTGTTTCATCATTAACTATATACTTCTTTGGTATATTATCAACGCATGTTACATGTACAAATCATGTTAAATTATTATCATTGCTTTTGCATGAGAAGATGTCGTTGTTCCGAGCTTAGTAGATATTGTTCTACGATATGTTTACAGCAAATAAATTGTTGAGTATCTTCGTCCCTTGAAAAAATTATGAATTTGCTATTGAACTAAGTGCTAGATTGGACATTTTTTAATTGCATAGTTATCATGGTCATAGTTTCTGCATTCGAAACCAAATAAAAAAGTATCTCTGCGATTATTATTGGGTCCCGCTGTTTGAATTCTGCGCTAAAAGATTTTTCATCATTTAATTATTAAAGATGAATGAGTTCAACGTGAATGTCGTCCTATCTCGAATGGGTGCGACGATAAATAATCCAAGTAATTATTGAAGAATCAGGAGCGTATAATTTGACCAGACAATGAGGAGTTAGGCCTCGAGTTCCCATCAGGTTCAATCCTGGCAAGTTGGATGAGTTCTGAATCCAAAGATGATAGTTCAGAACCGGGGTCATCGTTGGCGACCAAAGCTAAGGCAGAAAATAAGACTATATGTCCAGCCTCAGGAATTTGAAATTTGTTCATTAGCAATGATCAGTTTGACATAATATTCAAGCTTTCTATTTGTACAACGGAGACAAGGATTATTCTCCTTGATTTAGCACACAAAATAATTTGAGATATGTTTCAAGATATTTTTGATTAGTGATCCCACGAACGTCAATCCCACTGTCTTACCACATGAATTTTGTACCTATAAACCTGACAATATGTCTCCTCCCTCCTGCTATCTATATGGTCTCTAAAATGAAATGTTGCTCCAGTATTCCGCAGTTAAAGCGCATTTAGAGAGTAATTTGAAAATGCGTTTGAAATCTTATGGTTGCATTTACTTTATTAGGGGGTTTTACAACTAGCAGGAGTTTAGATTTCAAACTGGAGAATTGTTATTTTAGCAAATCTGTAAATCTGAGGGTATGCATAATATCCTTTCTCGCGGGATAAAATCTCTTTCTCAATTATTAAAGTTGTATTTATTTTCACGGGAAGGGAGCGTGACAAAAGTATGTCTGAAACATTTCTTTCAATATTACAGGAATAGATGACGGACTTCTCAAAGCAATCTTCAAGAAGTTAATGGTAAGCCAATGTATTTCAGACCTGACTAAAAAAAACTTTAGAATTCTCTCCGTTATATGGAAGAACCTTTGGTAATGCATTAATTTACGAGTTCAACAGAAGCGAATTGAAATGTTTGGTTTCAACATTACATTGTATTGAGATAAATTGAAACTTTCGGGAATTTTCTGAATGGGCCTTACAAGTTGATGGAGAGGGCAACATTGACTTAAGTGCATAATTTTAGTTTCAGATTATTCTAATTTATTGTATTCGATTTAGTTAATTTTATTCGAATTTTACATAAATAAATGAAACTTACACAAAAATAAAGGATAATACTCGATGTCTTGGAGTATAGATGATATCCATACTCGTGATACTCGTAACATGACATAATTACACCAAAAATGACATCGCATTGTTCGCGTATTTGGCGCTGTACTTGCGATGATTTTGAAAAATCTGATTACAACAACAAGCTTTAAATTCGCATTCACATGATTTGCACTCACTTGGACTTGTCAGGCGTCTGGTGCAACAGTTGAGCAGGAACACGAATTGTTTCTGATTGGAAGAATTGCTCTCTTATATTTGACGAAATTATGGAAAAAATAATGCAAATCATGTTGGATACATTCTATTTATTCGCCTCAATTTCCAGAGAGATTGTTTAGACCTTAGTATATTTCACTAGCTATTTTTGTTCAATAAAGTCTTTAACAAGATAAATAAGGTCCCCTTCACTGCACCTTGTTCTCGACGAGGTTGCTGCGACACTCCCTCATGTCGCGCACCACGTCTGTCACGCTCAGGTGTCCTTCCCTTGTCTCAGCAGCCAGCAACACGTTCCAGAGCGCCAGGAACGTCCCTGTTCTTCCCGATCCGTTACTGGAATATAAATTATTGAACAGGATGTATCCCTGCATATGAGAAAAGCTGAAGTAACAACTTAGATTAGGTTTTTTATGAATGGATTCTCTACTAAAGGTTCAGGGGAAGACGGTGGGCTGTCTATATAATGTTGATGGCTATAGAAAAATTAATGAAGAAGTGATGTAGTAAATTCGATACATGGAGATAATGTGTTTTATTTTCAAATTCGTATGATTTCATGTTAATTAAAATATTTGGAAACTCAGATACCGAACATCGATCAGGACGCAATTTTGAGGCATCTTCTGCTTTAGCATATGGTATAAATTATTACAGCTTAAAATAATTATAAATTCATGCCATAAATTTTAGTGCTTAATTTCATTGATATTCATATTCATTGTTACTAGATACTGTAGAGGGAGGATATATGCCATGTATAGATTATTATTAATTTAATGTATAATAACCAAAATGAGTTAGAAGTCTGCGCGCTGTTGTCGGATTAAGCCTGAAGTGCAAAATAGTAGGCATTGTATCATTCATTGTGCACCACCACAATGAACAGAGGTGTATACTGTTTACTCGATCAACTGATATACTGAAGTAGGCCCAATGCTATTGTCTTTAATTATATAACATAGAATTCATTTGAGTGAAGTTCAACGTGTTTAGATTTATGTGCCTTAAATTTATTTGTCTGTTTAATTCTTCCTGTTTTAGGCATGTGTCATTGTGTATTACCAGTGTCAGTAATAACTTATAACTTTTCATGCAGAGTGACCTCCGAACTATGGATTTGCGATTTTACAAATAACGACAATGCACATATTGTTGTTATTTATCGCTGATTGAAAGTGCTTCTTTTCTTCTATCAGTGTTAAACAGCGGGATGAGTGGCGAACCTGGTGGGTTATTGCGTATAGCTTATAGTCATAGTTAAGCTCAGTGGATACTGGCATCGTAACAATATGCTTATCAGTTCTTTATTATATTCAGGTTTTACCGTGTGGAACTTGGAATGCGAGCTTCAAGAAGTGATTTGACGGCAGGGTACACGAAATTTTCAGTTCGCTTATTATGGAAAGGTCTGTGTTCCATTTATTCTCTACCACGTCACATCTGCACTACGTACTTGCAATGCACCACGACAGTGCTTTCATTTTCGTTAGTGTTGAACCTGACGGTGTGCTGGAACTGACAGAAGACCTCGGCGTCAGGCAACTTCGAACCTTGTGACGGCCAAGCCACAAACTGGTAATGCAGTAGTTGGAGCGAAAAGATCCCCTGTAACCAAGTGATTAATTTGAGGGATACACCACATGGAAAAGCTTTAGTTCTACAAACATTCATGCGTTTTTAAAAATAATAAGAAAAATTTATTCGGATAAACGATATTAGAAATGACTTCAGATTTGGTCTTGATTTCATTTTATTAAAGTAAGTTTTCCTTTGATGCTAAATTAAACACCGTGCGTATAACCCAGGTTTTTACCCAAGTTTGGATAAACTGTTCACTGTATTTTATTGAAACATTTAAAGTTAAACTCAGAAAAATAAATCCGTATAGTGAATATAATGACGAACCATTTTATAAACCGCCTAAAGAGAATAGAATTCATCTACAAAATTGTACATAAATTAAATTCAATTCTCATTCTTTCACTTACGGATCTGTTTTCTCTCTTATTCTGTCTTTGGTATACTTATTTTTGGCAAGTCATAAATTTATATAGTTATATGAGAGAATATAGTGCTTGACGCTAATCACTGCACTGCGAATGGGGCTCGTTCGTCCCTAAATGGCTCTTTTAATTAATACAACTTTTAATCAACTCCATTTCAATACAGGCATATGATACAGGATGGCAAGTTCCCATATTTAAAAAATTAATTTTTACCGAAATAAATTTAATTCGAAAGGAAACAATCACGAAACTGTTCTTAAAACGCTCTTTGCACCACGAATATATATGACGAAAAAAAAATCTGAAAATATAGCGTTAAATACAACTCTTGAATTTTTACAAATTATTTGATCACGTTAGTGACAGGTATAACAAGCAAACAATGTTAAATCACTCACGTCGGACACAGCCAGCGTTCGCTCATACCAAACGTCGTCGATGTTGACTTCTTCCGTCAACTCTATGGTGAATGGACCGCATTCCAGCGTCGGGTCCTCACAAGTTGGTAGGTACAAAGCGCTTACGATCTGTTAAAAATTCTATTATTAAAATTCTATTCATTATTTTATATATCATATAAAATAATTATATATGACAAATTTTTCTTAACATCAATACGTATTTTTCTTACACTAAAGAAGAATAGAATATATACTGAGTCACGAACTTGTCGAATCGTTCTATCTAATAAAATATACAGTTCGTTATTACAATAAAACAACGTGTGGCGAAATGCACATAATACATACAATAAATCCTTGAAAATTTTCATATAAATTGCTCCGGTGAATGAATTGGTATATAAATGAAACCAGTTGGTGTAATAACTAAAAAGTGACCTAAAATTGTCGTTAATTTGTTGGTTAGGAAATTCAATCAAGTAGACTCATAATGAATAGGTAAACCGAAAAATGTGAAAAATTTTTATTAAGAAATATGCAACCCAGTCGATATACAGAGTCCGTCGGTCCGTAGGTTCTCCTTAGCCGCCCTAGAGGCAAATCAGACGCGAATAGGCCAATTACTGTATTTGACTACTAATTAGGAGCCGTTTCCAGGAGTCACATGACCCAGGGGGCCGAATCTGCAGAAGACAGCCGCATGCTCACCCTACTCAATAAGGCGCGAAGGTGACCAGCCCCTGATTCAGAAACCTGTACGAAGCAAGAGCAGGCGCAATAATTTGTACACACATTCGTTTCAACACTCACGGATTGCGTGTAGGCCAACGTGTGAGCGTTCCGTTATCTTTGATAATCTTGCTTTTAGCGCTTTATTCATCACGCAAACCGCTTCGACACTTTTCAGACAAAATTTCGCAGTAAATGTTTAGGATCACGCCATCGTTTGCGCAAGTTTCATTAAGCGTGTAATGAGTGTCCATCAACGCGCGACCATTGCGCGTGTTTAGCTAACACGCGTGCATTGCGTTATCTTCGACACGCATGCCTGGCGTTTGTGTAAAGACGCTAGCGATACCTTTCCGTGAACAAGCGTGCGTCATGTGCTAACTTCATGGCGAAAGGTGCAGAATGCAAATGAACACGCGTGCATTGCCATGTAAGTCAAGATGCGTCGACTGCGTGAGCTCAGCAAAACACCAACATTTCATAGGCAGGGGTACCAAAACAACCCTCGTTATACTCCCTATTGGGGTGCTGGGTTTATCAACAACCCGGGCTTGATACTATGCTGGGCAGTTAGAGGTGGTTCGAAGAAAGGAATATTAGGCAGTTGTATACGTCCTGTTCTTCGTCGGTTCGGACGTCGGTTGATGCTCGCTACTCATACAAGTTTTGTAATATTATTGTGTATAGTGAAGTCTACTGCGTGAAAACAACTCAGTGTTAAAACGGAATGCTTTCGTTTATGACATTTTCAGCATAAAACATTCCTTAGTTATTTTATTTTACTTATATTCAGCTAATTCATTACTTGGGCGGCGCATTACTTAATAGATTATCTGATATATTGGCTATGGAGACGACGTGCGAAATTAAAAAAAGTATGTATTTGCGCATTGAATAATGTGACCAAATTAAGGAACAATATTAAGAAATCGAAAATTAATGCCTACGATATTTCTTTACTCATTGATCAACTTTTTTCGCTCGAGCAAATTGTAGATATGATGAAATAAGTACATAAACTTCAAATTAGCAAAATTCAATGTCCAATTGTACCTCGTTCTGTTCCTCCCAGCTCGCTATCATGACGACAATCTTAGCTCGCTGCTGCCAGATCATTTGCCAGAAACTCAGAACTGTTTCATCCATGGGGCTCTGGGCAGCGATAAACGTCAGGTTGGGACCTTTGGTGCTCTGTAAAACCAGTGTGATGTCTTATATCTATCAAAACAAGAGATGTCAGAATGTCTGGTATACATAATATAGCCATGCTGATTGATAAATTGCTTCGACTAATCTCAGCCCACATGTTCTGTCCAACGGCGCTGCCTTTAATTTTAGTATTTTGTATAGAGTGAATCGTTTGAAACATCCATGGGGATATGTAACATTCTAGTTCTAACTAATCACTTCCCTCTTCTATAAGTTTCTCGCTGTAGTGTTTCCTAAAAATAAATAAATTTTATTTGCTAATAGTAATTGCATTTGTAGTAGTAATGTAAACCGTTTGTGAACCGTAACCTATACAAAAAATTGGTGTAATATTAAATGATATTTACGGTCACGTAGCTGGCGTTGATGTAGTCTGATCTCAAATTTGAAGTTTGTCTTTGTAGAACTACCCTGCTGCTGTCAACTGTGAAGAATGGGATAAAAATTATTGGTTCACAAAAATGACGTTTACATATATTTTTTCATGCAATCAGGAAGTCGAATTTTAAATTATAATACAATCTGGGGCGTTATTTTTATGATGAACAATAATTAGTTTATTAACTGCATTCACTGTTGATAATGAGCTGCATTCGACTCTGTGCATTTTTGATTCCACAGCGTCAAGTCTGTGAACACCGGAGCTCCAGAAGGAGGAAGTAACGGAATTATACAGGAGACGTTTGGATCTTATTTTAAATCATTCATTAGAATGGAACTCTAATCGAAGTTTTCAATTAATTGTTTTCTTTTCGAGTTTGAAGGGTAAAGCAACAAATAATTTATTTTTTTCGTCTGCTCTCTCTCTCTCTCTTCGTAGGATAAGTGCTGACATTACCTACCAAGATAGTAATTATGATTTATACATTTCAGCCCTTGTAAGCGAGTTGTCCTCGCCACCGAGGCCTCAGGGGCCAGTCCCCGAGACCTACATATGATGACGATAGAATTTTACCTTACACTCCGCATGTATTATAGTGCAAATCTATATCAGCTCATTCTAAATTTTATTGCTAAAGGAGACTGGACAGTCTAGAATCGAGCGTATAAAAAACGGCGTAAAACCGAACTTTTTGGAGTTCGTTTTCACAATAGTGCGCAGGAGTGTTGTGTATATGCAAAAAAACGATGTATATGCAAAATTTTAGGCCCCTAGGTTGTTTTCTTCATGATTCGAGGGACATTTAAAATCCACATATCTATATGCAGAGCTGGACAGCGCTACGTTGAAATATAGCGGCCGCTACCGCTACCGCTACATGCTCTAAATGTAGAGGGCGCTACCGCTACCACTACTGCCCACCTCTGGTAACAACTAACATGTTGACACTAGTAACAGGCTGAGGTTGACAACATTACACCGAAAGCTTTCGTACAGCTTTATTCTGTTATTTATATTATTTATGTATCATGCTGGTTTTTAAATAATATTTAATACTATTAAGTAAAATCTAAAGGCTTTATCTATAAATGAAGCAGTAGCGCTGTAGCGGCAAAACCTCGTATCGCTACTCTAATATGTAGCGGGCGCTACCGCTACCGCTACAATTGCTTAAATGTAGCGCCGCTACCGCTACATGAAGCGCGCTACTGCCCACCTCTGTCTATATGAAAAATTTCCCAAGAATCCAACTAGCATTTTTAATGATCTTATTGGGCAAAATCATCATAAAAACGTATTTAGTTGATATGCTTTAAGTTTCGAAGCTCCACCACATCAATAAAAAAGCATAAGATAATTTTAAAAGTATGAGGGTCGCATTAGGTAAAAACCTTTAGTATATCTTCTCTATTATACATATTTTAATTTTTCAAGGTCTAGATTATCATCCTCATGGTCATAGGGCATCTCTAAAAATAACTAAAACTTACTAAAAAAATAAAAATGACTAAAAATGCATGAAAATTGTTTAGCCAAAAGGAATCAGAATTCTATTTACTGACCATTCTCCATCAATGTAATAAATTACAAATTACTTGACCTATATGAGAAGAATTGTCCACCTGTTGATACCTTCTCGACGTACATCACAGATGAAATTTTGAAGAATCAAGTCATCTTAAGAAAAATGCTGGATGACCACGCTAAATGTATTCAGTGGTTGTGAGGGGTAAGAGGTTTGTTGTAGTAAATGAATGTATCTTCATATATTGAACTTTTCGTTTTAACTCCTCTGTAATGTATGTTTAATCGTAGCTAGGTAATTTTTACGTCTTCTCATTACGAGAACGCAACTTTTATTTCCCGTACGTATACGCACTTTTTCAACAACATATTTCTTATGATGCCTTGATTCTCAAAAATTTCATCTATGGATTACGTCTCGAAGGTATCAACACGTGTACTAGTTCCTATTATATACGTGAAATTGAAATAAGTTTAATGTAATTAATATAATAATAGTTTCTACCTATAAGGACCCTACAGTAACCCAATTAGTATTTTGAGCAAAATTCTTAAACATTTAAACATGTATATGCTTTACCTCATGTTAAAAAATATTTATGATTCTTTAATGATGAGGACGATGAGGTAGAACTTCAAAACTTGATCATGGTATATTCTGAAGACATTTTTTGATGATTTTTGCCCATTATGACCTTTGCAATGTCAGCTAGCATTTTTCACATTGTGAAAAATGCTAGCTGGATTTTTGGGAAACTTTTCATTTCCCATATTTTTAAAAATTTCAAACGACCCTCGAATCACGAGGGAATCAACATAGAGGTTTCCAATTTTGCACACATATTTTTTCAAGATTCACAATTTTTCCGCACTAGGTATTGTGAAACCGAATTCCGAAAAGTCGAAGTTACTCTCCACCCTCCAGTGAACAAGTCAAATCTGTCACTCAACCTTGCGCTTGCTATGGAAAAAGTTCTGCGTTTGCAAAATTCTGTAGCTTAATTAATGTCCTCATTCTTAGCACGAACAACCATGGAATCAATTAGGCACTATCGATGTAATCTGGAAAATTATCTGCATACTATTCTCCGAAAAGGAGAATCTTGCTGGTTATGAAGTAAACTTGAAATAAAACTAATAAAGAAGGTGCTAACAGGTGCTGTTTAACGCATTTGTCATTCAACTTACATGGTAATGGGACTCCAGAGCGGTTGTAAGAAGCATTTTCTTCTTTCAGTGCATTTGCAGTTGATTTCTTAGGACTCTTTTCATCAAGCAATGCGAATTCTTCGAATAAAGTTTCCCGTTCGAGTATATTCTGGAAAACGAAATTCAAGTCAAAAACTATTGCAAGTTTCCCTTACTCGAATCGGAGTTGATTTAAAACACACATACGGTTGCGAGGTGATTAAAATTCTTGTTTACATCTCAAATGCTCCAACCTGTTCCAGTAGTTCAGCTCTTGCTGATTAATAAGCTATTGCCGCCTGGGTATACATTATTTTAGGATAACCCTATAGCCGAGAATTGTTTTTGTACGATACAGTTGAACTCAAGAACGGTATTAGAAAGCATAAGTTTAAATGATTATTATATTAATTTACACGTATAACAGTATACAATACTCGTTGCAAATTCAGATATAAAAACAAATCGAAACGATCACTATGGAAAAAATATTTTGATGATACGGCACAATTAGCACCAAAACGGAATAAGGTGCTTCTATTCACCATACTTTGCCTTCGGTACTGAAGATTTATATTGGTTATAAGAAAACGCAACAAAAAGCCGGATGCAGCATTGGTCAATGATAATTATTAAAAATTTTTAACTGCGCAATAAAGCTGTTCCAGCTTGCACGATATAAGGGAATATAGTGTAGGACAAGGAAGCCGCTTTCTTGGCGTAAGATCATAAGACTGAATTATTTTTCTTACCTCAAGTCTGCGTTCGTCCATTTTCTCCATTAGCTCTTTACAGTACATTTGGCGGCGGGTGCTTGTGCTGATTTGAGAGCAATATTTTTTCAGATATAAATATAAATAAGCGATGTAAAATGATTTTTGAGGCGCATATTATTCATTACATAATAGTCCTGATTAATCGCATTAATTAACCCTAATAAGATTTGATTGATTGCCATTTTGATCGTATCCATAGGTATTATTTTGACTAAACACATTAATAAATTTTGATACATTGACATATATTTTGACATCACGCTCTAAACGAGTGTAATCAAAATAAAGGGAAAATTTCTTACACATTTGGGGCAATGCTTCTTCCTTCTTCTTCACTGTCCAAGGTTTGTACGCGGCTTTTTTTACGACAATAAAAGATGCACAAAGCGATTATGGATAGCCCACCAATGCAAGAGCCCACTGATACTATCAGTAGTATGGTTTTATCATTGACGAGATTTCTCGTAGTAACCTCCGTCTCTCTTGATTCGAATGTGTAGAAAATACCAGATATGTCCGTCCCAATTTTCGTATCATTCGTGTAAGCCTGCTTGGTATATTTGCAGGTTAGTTTTCCAGGTACTGAATTAATGAGAAAATTCGATTACCAGTATATTATATAGAAATTTCCTATATAGCCAGTATATTGGAAATTCTTGCCATTATATTCTGGTGGAATGAACGTTTTGAATGTAAATTTAATGAAGATCCTGGAACGAGTACTCAGTTATGAAGCTAGTTAGCAACAAGATTTCAGTTTTTAGAAGTAATAGGATTCCAAAAATTATTTGATGTAAGAATGTATATATTATTAAACACCTTAAAATATCAACATGGTTCAGTTATTTTTCAAATAAGCACACTCAATACAATGATCCAATACTATTCTTGACCAGGTTTAACTTTAATCGTAATCGGTGAGAGCATAAATATCACATTACATTCACTTAGTAACTGTATTCCAGTTCAATGAGTGAAAGTGACGAAAAATAACGATATTTTACAGTAACCACGACGCGATAGTCTTGACCGGGTTGAAGGTTGTGTATGGTGAAGACGCATCGGCTGCTGGTGTTCCGACCAGCAACCTGTGATACTCCCGACTGCGGGTCAGAACAGTCAGAAGAATTCATGAAGGCGAGGATGCTGGCGTTTTGTGTGGCATTACGCAGCGTAGCATTGATACCGTAGCGTGTTACACGATCCGGACACTCAGGAGGAGTCCAGCTGATTGTGAGGGAGTTTTGGCCTGCTGATATCGTCTCTAGTTCATGCGAAGCAATAAATCCTGCTAAGAAAAAATGCGAAATTTTAAGTCAATGTGAGTCTTATACAAAGGCCTATGCATATGTTTTACCGTAAGTTGCAAGCATTATACTACATACTGCAATTTACATAAAATTGAAAGTGTAGTGTTCATACATTCTACGTTCATTCAAGCTAAAAATCTCCGCCCAAATGCCACCAGAATTTTTAGTAAGTCTTAGTCTTACCAGGAAATAATTTGAGTTAATTTTTCTCACCTAAATCACCCGTGGTATTTTGGATACAAGTCGAGGTACTGAACCCTGAAGTATATTCGGCCACAACACAAACATTGTAAACGCTGAGGCTGTGGGGGTCACTAATGGTGTAGCTATGACTGGATGGGTTAATTGTGATGTTTTGCTGCACATCTTCCAGTGGTGAGTGTCCACTTTGTGCCAAGGGAGTGGAGGAATAGGATAGGAGGTATCGCGTCACCTTGCAGAGGGGCACCGGCTGTGTTTTCCAGTTCAATGTTATTCCGTGACAGTCAAGAGAATTTATTATCAACGACTGTACTGCGAGAAATGGCATTCGTCCAAAACATTTTTCTGAAAATCCACCGGAAATTATTATTAGCGTTGCAATCCAATTTTCTTACCCATACGAGTTGATTAAATTTCTTTTGAATCCAATGGAATTGTATTGAATCCAATTTACTGTAAATCCAACCAACAGCTGTAAAACTGAACTGCGATCTGAACTGTGCAAAAAACATTTTTTAGAATTTTTCTTCGCTTCACTCTAGTTTTCTAGCTTGCATGACTGATATCTCATTTCGGGCTAATTCGCATTTTTTCCATCAGTGCGATAACAATATTAAAGACTTATTTCCAAGCACTGTTATAAATTGACAGAAGAAATACACATATTCCACTCACCCTCGGGATTGAATAACAATTCCAGACAGCTTTCATTTCTGGAAGTAGAGTTGAAAGCTGGTGCGATGCAAATACTAATGTTTTTCGAGGAAACATTTTCTTCTACTGTGACTGTGTAATTTTCATACGATGTTGTCTCTTTCATGTCGTCATGTATGATATTATTGTCAGCCGAAATGACGGAGTATCTCACAGCGTATCCTTCGAATACTTCGTTTGAATTTGGCTTGTTCCACGTGACAGTCACTGACGACTCGGACATGTTCAGAATTTTCAAATCATCAACGCTCACGAATTTAGAATCTGTCATACAGGAAAATTTAAAAATTTTACATGAGGCTCAAGTTTATAAGGATTTATATGAATAATCTATGCACAGTTAACTAACTTGGCGTAACGTTAGTTATCCCAGTATTAGGTCATAAAAACGTGTTTTACCTAGAAATATTTTAGTTCTCTTTAGGAATCTAAATAAAAACAGAGAAAATTTCACATACCGTACATTAGATATATCTTTGCTGCACGCACTACTCAACTCATTCCATTGCTATTGTTCCAAAAGGCTAAGAGTATGAACTTTTTAATTTTAAACCCACCAGCTTCCTTCGTAACTTTGAATTCTGTCATAAATTTGATGAATTTGGATGAATATTCCAAACAGTGAGGCAGATATTTTTTCACACACTCGAGAGCACTCAGAGTGCTGGATATTTCGTATTCGGCTGATATCCCTTTTCTTTTGCGTTGGTAGTATCCGCACCATTGCCTGTTCTTGTCCATGGATACCATGTGTTGGAATATGGTCGAGGATGGGGCTAATTCTGGAAATTGTCATTGTTGGTGAAAAAGCCGTCATCTAAATCTTACAGGATTTAAATGACAGTTTGTCAATATGAATTATAAAATGCTGATTCATAAATCAGTTTCACCAGTTGTATGAACAAATTTCAAAGGGAATTGAAAGTTTCTATATATCAATATCGAATGCAATTCAGTCAATGAAATGGTATCACTGTGTGCTAAAAGTATGTGTTCTGATACTATATTTGTATAAATGTAATAAAATGTATGATTTTGTGAACAATAAAAATTTCAATGAATATATTTATCAAGTGTGATAATAATAAATGCGAAGAAGCAATGAACCAAGAAATAAATTAATTAAATATTAACCTAGATTTTATTATAATCAATTGAATAAAACATCACATTACCTGGGACACCCCAATTGTCACAGGAAAGAGATGTATCTACTGAGCAATGCATTGTGACGTTTGTAATGAATTCTTCTTTAATCTGAGCTTCCGTCCTCTTGTCAGCCTGGCAGCTCTGTGGAAATATACATATACAAAGAACTATTTAGAATCAACCTTATACACATTTATTTTTAGTTTTTTCCATTTTTTCTGCAGATATTATATAGCAAGTATTTTAACTCATGCTTCATGAGACCACGTCAAATACAATTTTTTTAATTGACCTTTTAGAACTGAATTTTCATATTAGAAGCTCACAAACACCCTCATATATTATTCTTCCATGCTGCTGATGGAATGAAATGCAGAGTTTACCTACTTCCGAGTGGTTCAACCTTGCATTATTTCTCCCAATGATATTCTCTTCGCAATAGTCAGAAATAGTCAATACGCAATAAAAAAAATAGTCAAAATTATTTCGACACGACAGTCCTTCAGGATTCACAGATTGCTATTTAGCGCTACAATATGAGCCTTTGAAATTAAATATTGAACACAAATCAATTATGCCCTGGCTGATTCTAACCCTGTTATCAATTATTAAATGTACCTCGTCTTTTACCTAAAATTAAATGCTGGCAAGGTAATTTGAAGTGTTGCTAAGCAGGGTCATTGCTCTAAATAATCGATGCAATAAAATCACGAGCGTTTAAGTAATGCCGTACGCATCAGGGTACTCACCGTTAATAGAAAAAATATTGCACAACTCAAAATTAAAAACTGGGAACTTGCTTCAGGCATGTTGAAAACTTGAAAAATATACTCTTTTTTGACTTCGAGTGCGTTAAACAAACAACGTGATTTTTAGACGTGTGCACATCGCGTGCAACGCTTTCACGAACACTGCATACTGACAGCGTGGTTCAAAGTGAGTAACGGAGATTTAGATTAGAGAGGTTATTCCTGACTGTTGAAGCCACTGAACACAGATAACGCTAATTCAGCAAGATAACCATCATACGTGTTAAACTTCATTGATAAAAAATGACCTTTAGGCCGTGATGAAGAAAATTTTCAATTATTATCAGTCGGAAAAGAACGTAAGTTGAATTTACATTATATTTTATCATAAGATTGTTGCTCACAACAATAGGCAAATTTTACTGAGAAGGTGCTGAAATTGGGGGCAATATTGAAATATAATTTGGTACGTGCAAAGTTAATTGTGATTGCTTTTCAGTACTCAAGATAATAAGTTGTTTTGCATTCAAAGCTACCATGACTCATTTATTGAACTACAGATATAAGATATAACTCAATCATTTTTGGTGTAATCTACACATTGTATAAATTACTGTGAGTGCATAATCGGTCACTATATTTCTTACACGCACCAATAAAACATTATATCGTCGGTATATTTTTGTATAATCATTTCAAAAATTAAACATGGGTAAACTTTTCCAAAACAATGGAAAAAGAAAACTAAGCTACGAGCTCGTATCTTAATTTTTTCTTAAAAATTCACAAATGATTTACGACGAGTTTGCTCCTGAACTTAAAACGAACCCACCTTATCTGTTCATGTTTGCGTGTTCATATGATTATCGGACACAATGTGATGAATGAGGTAGTTCAATAAAAAGACCCCTGACTCATCTGATGAATTAATATCAGGTTGCGTTAATTGTTGCAGGAGAGCGCGTATCAATCAATTATTTTTTAAAAAGCGGTTTAGTTATCCACTTTTTGTCCCCAGGCGGAAATGCGTCGATATTGTATAGGATGGGGGGAATGAAATTAACGTTCATTTGGTCTATACCAATTGAATAGTATAGATAAGTAAAAGATGAATATTATCGCAAAATGCCAGCACACGCAGAGTAACCTTGCCTAAAGCGATGAGTTTGGACCTACGGACAAACTGGGAAGGCAAATAAGCCCTAACCGGCACTTGCGGTGGCTGATGGTCATCTGTTTAGGTCTGACCGCTATCCAGTCGAAATTCAGATTCCCATTTGGGCCACGCCATTTTCGATATGCTCGGCTTTGGGTCTTAGACCCTGTCTCTTTTAGAATACTTGTTAGATGATGGATTGGGTCACTGCACTCGGTCTAGAGGTGAATCAGACGAATTTGTCATCTACTGTTTTCAGCTGTTCTTCGGGAGTCAATTGACCGATGGGCTGGATCACCGAAACACAACCGAATAGAATAGCTGGCCTGGCAACCTCTTGATGGCCCTGGTCAGACGCTTGTATTGGAGCGAACCATGACCATCTCCCGACCGTGAAATAGCGTCGATGTATGTGCATGCGTACGTTTGGAAAGTCACACGATTTAACAAAACTTGAATTGACTCATCAATTTTTTTACCTGAAGTGGTACTTAGATAGTTATTCGTTACGTATAGTACAAAGATAATCTTGATTTTTTAATTTACTCTTTCAAGAAGCAGAGGCTGCTTGAAGGCAGGGAAACATAATTATAGGATGCAAGAGGATAAAATACTTGATAAAGAGTACGTGAATGCAAACAAATCAATGCCTGTAGCTCCATGAGGTAATTTCAGATTCTCATCATAATATGATTGAACGATATGTAATTGGAATAAACAGCAACAGATGAACGTTCGGTTTTGCATTCAGTGCATACAAGCTTCCATTAAATGTCCAATGGCACTACTGCTCGATATCGTTATGGCGGCGCACTGCCTGATGACAGGCATTGTACAATGTACTTTCGGTAAAACAAACAAGGAGGTTGATAAATTGAATACCTTCAGGTCAATGTGATATTCTGGTGAGGTTCACAAAATATTTGTAGAGTAAGACTTAAAATTATAAAATAACATGATGGCGATAACGGACGAATAATTGTAACAAACGAATTATAACAATTTACACCGTCCAGAACGTGTAACAGAGCTTCAAACATCCAGTCTGGCCGCATAATGCTCTGTCGCAGGAGCAGCCACTAAAATATGCAGTTTAGTGTGTAGCGGTCTCATTCTGGATTTTGAATTGAGGTAATAAAATATTTAGAAATTTAGAATTAGATTTAAATTGTAAAAATTAGATTTTGTTTTATATGAACGTCACCTCGATGAATACATCAGTAGTAGTTAACTTAATTCCAACTTTTAGTATTTAGATTCATTTCACCGGAACCTCTTATTAGAGTAAGTACCAAGTGTTGCCTCTGTAATCACATAGTAATTACTCTGTTAAATAGATGAACTGATTTATAATGATTATAATCTTTTTCTATGTACTTGTATTTGTGTAACATGAGATTATCTGTTATTCAAACAAGGTTCTATACAGAGACCAAAAAAGTGTCTTTATTTTTCCCAAAATCAACGTGAGACGCTTTACTGGTGACCCCAGATACATACTGAAGATTTCTCTCAATGGCCGAGGACGACATTGTATGCATACTACATGCTGCATACTACAACATTCACCAGCACTCAACATTCTCTCACAATGATCAAAATTGAACAACCTCCATATTATTCGCCAATGCTGAGCATTTTACATCATTCACCAATCACCAGCATTCAGCATTCTCAAGCATTTCCCAAACCAAGAATTCTTCAATATTCACAAGCGCTCATTATTCTTTAACATTGCCCAAAACTAAACATTCTTCGACCTTCTTTCATATTCACCATTGCTCAAAATTCATCAGAAATTATACATTCCTCCCCATTCACCAAGACGCAAGACCAAACATTCTTCCCTATTCCGGCTAACAAAAATACTCTATATAAACCAGTGCAAAATATTCTGTTCCTTTACCCAGTATCAAACGTTCGCTCACATTCATCCAAAAATTGTCACACATTCGCTGGTAGCAAACTTGGTGCCATATAAATGAGTACCAAAGGTTCTATGTATCAGATGAACACCATATCCAAAACATTCCTTCTGCAATAATAAGTCCTCATTGTTCTCCAAAAATATTTACAAGCAACCGCCTAGTCACTAGGGGGGTGTAAAT